ACTACAAGAGAGACACTGAGGGACTGGAGCGGGGCCAGAGAAGGGCAATGGAGCTGGTGCAGGGCCTGGAGCACAAATGTGATGGGGAAGGGCTGAGGGACCTGGGGGGTTCAGTCTGGAGAAGGCTCAGGGGCGACCTGATGGCTCCCTACAAGTGCCTGAGAGGAGGATGGAGCCAGGAGGGGCTGGGCTCTGCTCCCAAGGAACAAGGGATGGGACAAGAGGAACCGGCCTCAAGCTGCACCAGGGCAGGTTTAGATGGAGCTGAGGAACAGTTCCTGCCCCAGAGGGTGCTCAGGCATTGGAACAGGCTGCCCAGGGCAGGGCTGCAGGCACCGGCCCTGCAAGTGTTCGCACAGCGTGGAGACGAGGCCTCAGTGCCATGGGTTAGTGGTGGCCTTGGCAGTGCTGGGGAATGGTTGGACTGGATGAGCTTAAAGGGTTTTTCCACCCTAAATGACTCTGTGACTCTAAGAAGGACACAGCAGCTGGACATTTAATCACGGGAAAGAGAATAAGGAAAATCAAACTTGGTCAACTTGATCATGTACAGAACAGCAGCATGAAATGGGCAGACTCATTGAGAGCAACCCAAAGTTGAAGGACGAAAGAGAATGAGCCCAGATCTCAACCTACAGCCTTTTATCACTCCAGGCCCTCCCTCTGTACCGTTTTTAGCACAAGCTCCTCTGATGCTCCCATCGCTCTCGGCCCCGCATTGGCTCCGGAGCTCCAACAACCACAACGCCGGGTTTAAACATTTTTATAGCGTTCCTCTACCTCCCTTTTCATTAAAACTTTGTCTTCCTCTGTCCACCCCGGGGGGAGGGTGGGGAAAAGACAACCCTCAACCTTGTGTAGTCAAGGTTATGGCGATAAATTCTGTAGCATTGTCACTTCTATTCGGAGTAAATTGGCTGGCCGCTTTCGGGCTGAAGGGAAGATAATTTGCTGTAGTATTTCAAATGGATTAGAAATGGATTTGAAGGGAAAGTTCATGCCTCCCATTACAAAGGCTAGAAAGAAGACTATCTTAAGGCACTGTTCACACTCTGGCCTTCATTATCCACGCTTAATACCTTTCCTATTTTCCAACGTTAATGAAATTTCCTGCCGGAGCGGGGCTTCTGGATGGACGGGAGGACTCTTTAGATCCGCGGGCTTGTGCGGCAGAAAGGGAATTACAAGCCCCTCGTGTCGAGGGGCCGGTGTATTCTTCAGGGCCTTGGCCTGGCTATTATCTCATTAATTTTAGCCTCTTTTTCTCAATACAGTTCATTTCCAAAGGCCGTCCTTTCCATTAGGGTAAGCATTCAACGGAGAGCAGTGACACCACTGCCGATGAAAAGCCACTGTGGGTTCAGAGTGGTTCCTTGCCCTCCATTAGAGTCATCCTCCCCTTCATCCGCATGCTGGTGGCTTTTCCCCATGGACATTGGGTTGAACAGTGCTAATGGGGAAGGGACACAGAGCTGAGGTTGTGTTGGGGCTGTGGAATGGTTGGAGCAATAAGTTGGGTTAACAGGAAGATAGAGGCTTCCTACAGGTGAAGGTTGGTCAGTTAGGTTTTCTCCCATCTCTTCAGTATGGGTTCATGTTCCACTGTGATTTATGATATAAAGCGTATTTTACCTTCAATTTTAAATATCTTACAGAATCAGAATCATGGAACAGTCTGGGTTGAAGGGACCTTCAGAGGTCATCTAGTCCAACCCACCCTCCAGTGAGCAGGGACATCTTCCACTAGATCAGGTTGCCCAGAACCTGATGTGGGTTCATATTCCACTGTGAGTTTCTGATATAAAACATATTTTGCCTTCAATTTGGAATATCTTTGTAGAACCATTGAAGAGTGTGGTTGGAAGGGACCTTCAGAGGTCATCTAGTCCAACCCACCCTCCAGTGAGCAGGGACATCTTCCACTAGATCAGGTTGTTGATCCACATCCTTGAAGGAATCCAGGGATGGGGCATCCACTACCCCTTTGGGCAACCTGTGCCAGGTTAAAGGGAATAAGTCTAGCTACAAATAATGAAGCCCCCTGAGAAGGTGTTTAAGTTGGGCTGTTGGGGCCCTTCAGAGCCCTCAGAGGACATAATCCCCATTAAGGCTGACTTTTTGGATAGGAGGGTTTCCAGTTGAGGAGCTGGGCTGGTGCAAAGCCTCCGTGGAGGATGAGAGGTCCTCAGGTTATCCCTGTTTGGACGCTTCCACCACCCAGAAGGTAGAAATGGAGATGGTGAGGCTGAGCCCTTGGTTGAGTCTTCAGCCCAGTGGCATGTGGGGCTTTGAGAACCTGGGTAGATGTTCTGCAGAAGCTTCATTTATCTACCTCAGAAATGCAACAGCCACGTATTGGAGGAGGTTCAGCCCCACTCCCTGTGTGGAATGAGGTGCTTTTTGATGCTTTCCACCAAAATCCTTGAAAAATCCCAACGGGAACATCCCTAACAGCCAATACATTACCGCCGATCCCTTATATTTAGGGTTTGACCCCTCCTAAGGACTGCCAGAGAGCAGAGCTGCTGCTGTGCACATCTCTGCTCCGCTTCTCTTACGCTGCCTTTTCCTTTATCATATCACTTTATAAAGGGCTAAAGTGTTTTCTGCTCTGTAGCTGTTGCTGTTTGCTCAGCAACTGCTCCCTGCTTGCTCCCTGCTCACATCCCAGGGGTCAGATGCCACCAGGTAATAACTCTTGATAAATGGTGACTCTTGAACAAGGAGTGCTGGAGTGTGCAGCCACTTCAGTGCCTTGAGGGAGTGCAGCAAAGCAGGGGAATAAATAGCCTGAGGAGTGGAGGGATTTATCCAGCTGGGTCTTAAACTGATGTTTAAACCAGTGGTTGTTGGGCTCAGCAACATAAGCAGCCCCGAGGGCTGTGCACAACTTGGGATTGGTTGGATTTTCATGGAAGCACAGAATCCCAGCCTGGTTTGGGTTGGAAGGGACCTTAAAGCTCCTCCAGCTCCAACCCCTGCCACGGGCAGGGACCCCTTCCACTAGAGCAGGGTGCTCCAAGCCCCTGTGTCCAACCTGGCCTTGAGCACTGCCAGGGATGGGGCAGCCACAGCTTCTCTGGGCACCCTGTGCCAGCGCCTCAGCACCCTCACAGGGAAGAGCTTCTGCCTAAGAGCTCAGCTCAGTCTCCCCTCGGGCAGGTTCAAGCCATTCCCCTTGGCCTGTCCCTACAGGCCCTTGTCCCAAGCCCCTCTCCAGCTTTCCTGCAGCCCCTTTAGGCACTGGAGCTGCTCTAAGGTCTCCCCTTCAGGAGCCTTCTCTTCTCCAGGCTGCCCCAGCCCAGCTCTCTCAGCCTGGCTCCAGTGCAGAGCTGCTCCAGCCCTCCCAGCATCTCCATGGCCTCCTCTGGACTCGCTCCAACAGCTCCACGGCCCTCTGGCGCTGCCCCAGGGCTGGGTCAGGACTGCAGGGGGGGTTTCTCCAGAGTGCAGTAGAGGGGGAGAATCCCCTCCCTCAACCTGCTGGCCATTAGGTACTTGATACGAGTTTTATTCAGTGTATTATGGCCCTAAGACTTTCCTCCAGGTCCTGTTGCCAGTGATGGTGGCAATCTTGGACTGCAGAAACTTGCTGTGACCCGCTGGGTGCTCCATGGACAGCCCTAATGTCCCTCCTTTCATCACTCACTTCCCACCATGATGCCACTGCCATAGCTCTTTACCAGTAACTTGGTTGTGTAAAATTAAGACTGGATGCTTCTCTCTGGAGCAGTTCCTCAGGACCAAACCCTGGGGATGCTAGAACCTGGGCAGCATCTTTATAGAGCCCCGTCCCCTCCTCACAAACCAGGCAGCAGTTCAAGCTCGGTAGCCAGTGGCAACAGCCCGATGAAATGAAGAGCCTGTCAGGCTCAGCATTAAGAAATGTAACTATTCCATTTTCCAGTTCTCCTTTTTTCCCTTTGCAGCACATGTTCATTTACAGGGAATGCTCTCCAGGGTTTGCATTCTGCTGATAGGATAGTGGGATCTTCATTTACAGATAGGCTGCGGTAATGCGGGGTTTATGTACGTTCTGCTAATAGCATTATGAGCCTTAGTTTGGACTAATACAAAATTAGAGCTCTCATTTGCATAAACAAATTACTGTTTGGATTAGCCCTAAATGAGGGAGACGACTGATAGTGGAGATGTGATTTTGGCTGTTTGGATAACGGCATGTGGACTGAATGAGCTGCCTGCATCCGCGCTGCTTGGGAAGGAGGCGGGATGGTGCAGGAGGTACCAGGTCATGAACCAGAGGGGGTTTTGGTGGCAGATCATAGAATCAGCCAGGTTGGAAAAGCCCTTTAAGCTCATCCAGTCCAACCATTCCCAGCACTGCCAAGGCCACCACTAACCCATGGCACTGAGGCCTCGTCTCCACACTGTGTGAGCACTTGCAGGGACGGTGACTGCAGCCCTGCCCTGGGCAGCCTGTTCCAATGCCTGAGCACCCTCTGGGGCAGCAATTGTTCCTCAGCTCCATCTAAACCTGACCTGGTGCAGCTTGAGGCCGTTTTCCTCTTGTCTTATCCGGACTCATTGCTGTCCCACTGCCTTGTACAGGGTCTGTGGGTCTAGTGGAAAGATGGGGAGATGGCTTTAACCTGCCAGAAGGGAGACTGAGCTGAGCTCTTAGGCAGAAGCTCTTCCCTGTGAGGGTGCTGAGGCGCTGGCACAGGGTGCCCAGAGAAGCTGTGGCTGCCCCATCCCTGGCAGTGTTCAAGGCCAGGTTGGACACAGGGGCTTGGAGCACCCTGCTCTATTGGAAGGTGTCCGTACCCGTGGCAGGGGTTGGAGCTGGATGAGCTTTAAGCTCCCTTTCAACCCAAACCATTCTATGAAATCATTGGGAATCAGAGCTTCTCCTGTCTACAGCAAGAGCATCCCTGCTTCCTCCTTGCATCACCTCCATCATCAGGCAGCTGATGGTTTGCTCCCAAATCCACAGTATCTTCCCTATTTTGGTCTTACCCTGGCTTTATCTTTTCTTGCAGATCCCCACTATCAATCCAAGCTCGCCCATCATCTCATGGAGGCAAGTCCCAGCACGTGCAGCAGAGATGGAGGAGCAAAGGCTACCGCTGCATCGGCGGTGTGATGTACCGCGTGTCGGCCAATAAGCTCTCCAAGACTTCCAGCACCCCTGTTCGGGGCAGAGACCTGAGCACCAAGAGCCCTGGTAGAGCAGGTGAGCAGCAAAGGTTTGTCCCTGTCTGTGTCCAAAATCCACTGATGTTCAGTATTGAGGTTGGATTTTAGCTGCTTATTCCTACCCCATGTGTTGTGACTCATCCTTTGGCCTCACAGGAGCTCAGATGCAGAGGTGATGGGCATCCCCTTGGTGCCAAAGCACATCCCTGAGCTCTTCTTGCTCTACAGTAGCTCTGAAGGGAAAGTAACATAGAAGAAGTGAAAGATTAAAGAAAATTGAGGTTTTTCTTAACTGAGGCTTAGTTAAGAGATGCACCATTAAACTTGTTTCTTGTTTTAACCTGAGCAAAGCCTCCTAACGCCACCGGAAGGTTAAACCTATTTGAGATGCTCGACAAATTATGTTCAATATTGACCTAAGAAAAGCTGGGAGGATCATTCTGCAGATGACTGTGAACAGGCATTCCAACACGGTTGCTGCCTTTACATTTAGCTTCAATTCAATTTCTCTTTCAGCTCCTGTTGTACTTGATGCATCAAGTGTGGCTCTGTGGCAAGAGCAGGCTTTTAACTGTGCTTATGGTATTTCTTTGGAGTTTTTACTTGGGGTCACATATTTTTTGCTCCTGAAGTGCTTTATTGACAAGATTTGGGGACAATTAAGCTGGGAAAGGCAAAGCTGATGGGTTTGTGTCACTGTTTTTCTTTGCTGGAAGGATGAAGGGTGCAGAGATGAGTCTGATCATGGATGATGCTCTAAATGAGGCAATGTAATGCTGAAGTTGTTCAGTGTACGGTGGGAAGGTGGATGAAGAGACACAATAAATAGTGTTATTGAGAGATCAGCCTTCTTTCAGCCTCTGAAACTGCCTGCAGAGCGTTATGGGGCATCCTGGGTAGTTTTAAACTCACAAAAAGCAGGATTAGGAAGGGAAGGAGCTTTGTGCAGGTCAGGAGACCTGAGCGGCTCCGGGAAGTTTGAAATGCATGAGGAAAACCAGGAGCAAGCAGCAACATCTGAATGAAGAGTGAAATAAAGAGTTCTCTTCATCAGGGACTGTAGTGATAGTGATGGCTTCAAACTGAAACGGGAGATTTAGGTTAGATACACGGCAGAAGCTCTTCCCTGTGAGGGTGCTGAGGCGCTGGCACAGGGTGCCCAGGGAAGCTGTGGCTGCCCCATCCCTGGCAGTGTTCAAGGCCAGGTTGGACACAGGGGCTTGGAGCACCCTGCTCTAGTGGAAGGTGCCCCTGCCTGTGGCAGGGGTTGGAACTGGATGATCTTAAGGTCCCTTCCAACCCAAACCATTCCATGATTCTAAATAACTTCCCTCTGATGCTCACATAGAATCATAGAACAGTTAGGGTTGGAAAGGACCTTAAGATCATCCAGTTCCAACCCCTCTGCCATGGGCAGGGACACCTTACACTAGACCATGTCACCCAAGGCTCTGTCCAACCTGGCCTTGAACACTGCCAGGGATGGAGCATTCATAACCTCCCTGGGCAACCCATTCCAGTGCCTCAGCACCCTATGCAAGTTCTAAGTGGTGCTGGAGATAAAACGGCAGGAGAGGGACTGCAAGTGAGGATAAATCCTTCCTGCACATCATTGCTCGCAGGGAGAAGGGCAGAGATGTAGCTTAAACCATGGATTAGCTGCCCCAGCCACCTGAGGCTGGATGAAGACACCAGCAGATGATGGCAGAGATGAGGATGCAGCGGTGGCTGAGGGGGCACGGAGCTGATGGAGCATCAATTTCAGGTGATCACCCTTCTGAGAGCATTTAAGGGATGCTCAGCAGCAGTTTGGGGACAGTTTGCTGGTGTTTTTGCAACTCAGCTCTGCTCAGGACAGATTTTCAGTGCCTGACTAACCTGCAGCATCCTCCTTACTGCTGGCTCTGCAAATAGGTATGGGCATGGTCATGAGTGTGCATCCATATGGCTTGTTTCGATGTCTGTGACCCTACCTGCGAGCTGTTAAATCCTTGGCTTTGGTGCTGTGTCTGGAGGAGGATGCGCAAGGGTCAGCCTTCAGAAGCATGGAAAATAAGGCCATAAAGTGAGCTCAGGGGGTTGTAGAGCAAGCAAATCCTGGTGTCAGCAAAGCTGGACTTGTTAAAGAGTTTTCCTAATGGCAATGGGATTTTCCAAAATGACTGGATCAGGATAATCAGCTACACAAACCCAGCCTGAGGGGGATTCTGCCATATGTGCCATCCCCCGGCATTGAAGCTGTCACCAACGGCAGCAAACATCTTGCTGGAGTGCAAGAAAAGGGGTGACCCCCCCAGGATGTGGACAGGAAAGATTTTAGATGGAGCAGCTCTGGTTTTGGGACAGGTTTCAGGGCAATGTTGGATCACTGGGAAGAGCCCAGGAGAGAAGTGATGGCTGGAAGAGTGGATGGCCTGGGTCTGTGCAATCTGAAGAGGAGGAGATAGAGGGGCTTCAGGTCCCCAAGGTCATGAAGAGCTGCTAAGCAGAGGAAGGATGTCTTCTCCATGGCCAGGCGGAGCAGCCAAAACCCACAGGGCTTAAACAGTTGCGGGAAGGGTTCATAGAGTCACAGAATAGTTTGGGTTGGAAGGGACCTCAAAGATCGTGTAGTCCAGTGTGGCAGGGACACCTTCCACTAGACCAGCTTGCTGAAAGCTCCATCCAACCTGGTCTTCAACATGGCCAGGGATAGAACACCTACCTACAGCTTCCTTGGGCAGCCTGTTCCAGTGTTCACCACTTTCACAGGGAAGAACTTCTTCCTTATATCTAACCTGAACTTCCCCTGTTTCAGTCTGAACCCATCACCCCTTGTCCTATCACTGCAGTCCCTGATGAAGAGTCCCTCTCCAGCATCCCTGTAGCCCCCTTCAGACACTGGAGCTGCCCTGAGGTCTCCATGCAGCTTCTCTTCTCCAGGCTGAGCATCCCCAATGTTCTCAGCCTGGCTCCACAGGTCTTATCTTGCTGTACTCTCCTTCCCCTGCCACACAGCACGTTGGGTTTGTGACCATAACGCCCAAGTAGCTGGTGTGTGTCAGAATTCTTATGTCATCTTTCAGCTCTAGCCATAACTCATCCATCTTCCAAGGATGGAGTCAACAGATACCACTGTCTCTTGCTTTATGATAACTGGGTCTGGTCCATCAGCTCTACCCGTAACTCATCCACCTTCACAAGGATGGATCCCACAGATTTCACTGTCTCTTGCTTTACGATAACTGGGGCTGGCAGGGTGGAAGATCTGTGTGTGCTCATCGCCTCTGAACATTCACACATTTATTCAGTGCTCTGTGTTTGCAGCACTTGACAAAGTTTATCTAAAGACAACAGCTTTTCCTTTCCCTTTGAGTGCCAGACCCTGTGTTTGGGGGAGCTGAGAGATGGGAAGCGCTCCTGACAGTTTAATAGCATGGTGTTCCCTTACAGTGAGTTATAATTCTGCTCCTTGCCTGAATTTATTGGGTCACTGTTTTGTCTCTTCATGGCCCGACTACATTAAGAAATGTGATGCTGGTTGTGCCTGGATCCATCAGATGGACTGATGCATCCACGCTGTTGCTCTGTCTCCAACAAGTGATTTACTGATGGATGTTGGTGGGGAGTTAAAACTTGGTCTTGGGGATGCACCTCTTGCAGCCAAGTGCTCTGTCAGAGTCAATTGGAGTCAATCAGAGTCAATCCTGGGACTTCCAGGAGTGTTAAAGGAACTCATCCATCTCCCAGAGCAAGGAGAAGAGCAGGAGTTTTGTTATGGCTCATCCTCAATCCACTTTATTGCTGGTGGCATGGAGGACACCTGGCTGGGGACAGAGAAAGCATCACTGCGGACCCAGGGTAAGCTTCTGAAGGTGTTTCTGGTATAAAGAAGCGCCCTGAAGAGGTTCATGGTGAATAATGTGGCTGCTCCATCCCTGGCAGTGCTCAAGGCCAGGTTGGACAGGGCTTGGAGCAAGCTGCTCTAGTGGAAGGTGTCCCTGCCCATGGCAGGGGTTGGAGCTGGGTGAGCTTTAAGATCCCTTCCAACCCATCCTGGCAATCCATGATTCTGTAGCTCAGCACTCGAGCAAGGATGGAAAAGGCTCAGAAGAAAACATGTAGCTCCAAACACAGAGCTCAGAAATGCACCTCTCATCCCTGTGCAGGGTGAAGATGCAGAATCAACATGGAAAAGCTCTTTCCCTTTGGGATAACTAGTATTTCTGCAATGATATATTTCTCACTTATTAGAAAATAGGTGTGGAAAGCATTTGATACGTTGCAATTAATTAAGCAGGCGGAATAAATTGCTTTCTCCACTCACAATGAGCATTTGCCTCATTTCTTGCTACAGCTGCTAAGACGTGCTTCAGACTCTTGAGGAATTGCCGTGAAATTGGGGGAAGAAGCAAAAGGTCCTGACAATGTAGTGCTTCACAAAGGAATTCCAAAGGGAAACTGAACCAGCACAGCTCTGTGCAAGACTGAAAGCAGCAGAAACCAAATTAAGGGTTGACATTGGCCAGGAAAAGAGCTTTGACCCTAATCTAGGCACCAGCCACCACCGGTGCAGTGAGAGGTATTGCACACCCTGAGCTGGGGCTGGCTCCAGTGGTGTTTTGACAGTGTCCAGGCTGATCTCCATGGACAAATCCTCTTCTGCACTTCCTCATCCTCCAGTGAGGTTTTACCTGCTGGGAGCATGCAGGAGCCTGGTGGGATGAAAGCCTGGTGGCTTTGGGGACACTGGTGTGGCTGGGCTTCACCTGCTGGAGGGATGCTGGGGACTAGAATGGTAGGACAAGGGGTGGTGGGTTCAAAATGAAACAGGGCAAGTTCAGGTTGGAGATAAGGAAGAAGCTCTTCCCTGTGAGGGTGCTGAGGCACTGGCACAGGGTGCCCAGAGAAGCTGTGGCTGCCCCATCCCTGGCAGTGTTCAAGGCCAGGTTGGACACAGGGGCTTGGAGCAAGCTGCTCTAGTGGAAGGTGTCCCTGCCCATGACAGGAGCTGGATGAGCTGTAAGGTCCCTTCCAACCCAAACCATTCCAGGATTC